GTAGAGCTTTACATGCTGGCAGCGATGAAGCATTCACAACACGGGGGGATGGGAACTTCAGCCAGCACCCAGCAGCAGGGTAACCAGTGGGGTGGGAGGGTAAAGCCCCTAGGCCGAAAAGAGTTGACTTAAGTGGGAGGGAGCGAGGGGATTATCGATGAGTCACCGGCGAGGAACGCAGGCACAGAGACAATGGGAAGGGTGGGGGGATGAAGCGACCCCCCCCCCCTTCCCCAACGGCCAGAGCGCTCAAAACGGCCGGAAAGAGGATTCGATTGGATGCTCACGATGACGTCATGTGACCCGGGGGTGAACGGGCGTTAGGGACATAAGGGGGGCAGGAGGGAGAATTGGGTCAGAGTCCTTCTGGAGCGATGGGAGTGTGGATGATACGCTGCAGTCTGCTCTTGTCCTTGGCAGTGGCAGCAGCGGTTATGGAGGAGGTGAGGATGGATTCAATGATCGCTGTATAGAAGTGCACCATCATTGTCTTTGGCAGGTTGAATTTCTTCAGCTGCCGTAGGAAGTACATTCTCTGTTGAGCTCTCTTGGTGAGGGGGCTGATGTTCAGTTCCCACTTGAGGTCCCGGGAGAGAATAGTGCCCAGGAAGCGGAAGGACTCCACAGGTTTGACTGGGGAGTCGCACAGGGTAATGGGGGTGAGTGGGGCTGTATTCTTCCTGAAGTCCACAACCATCTCAACTGTATTTTTGGTTCTTTCGGTAAAGTCACCACGAAGATAGGGAAAAAATAAAATAATAAAAATATAAAACAATAAAATTCTCACGGCGTTTCGACTGCAACACAAGCAATCATCATCAGGTGTGAAAACCACAGCAAGAAAATTTGAAAAAAGTCGCGGTTTTCATTTTGTTTCCCTTCTACGTGGTGACTTTACCGAAAGAACCAAGAATATGAATTGTTGGGGTGGCTGCCCCCCGTCTCCCCATTCTCCCGTGACCCCCCACTCGTCTCTTCTCCCCCCCTCGCTGCTGCCCCTCGTGGCATGATTTAAATGGCTGTACTAACCACCTTGCGAATACGCCGCGGTGCCCCTCTCGTGCACGCTAACCCCGAGCTGCGGGTGAAAACTCAGGGGCAGGTGACCCCCCCACGAGACCCTACGTGAGTGCGTGTGTGCGTTCACGTGGAGGGTGGTGGGGGAAGCGCTGCGACGGCAGCCTGGTGGCTTCTCTGCCGCAGCACCCCCGTTGCAGGCACGGCTCCCACGGAGCGGCTTCGCTGTCGTGGTACCACAGTTCCAACGACTGCAAGAAGCCCATCTCAAGCTCAAGCCGCGTGTCATATTGCGCAGCGCGAGGTTGGGTACCTCGGACACCGCGTCAGCGAGGCAGGGGTGCGCACCGACCCGGAGAAGGTACGCGCCGTAGTAGAATGGCCAAGACTGAGGAACCTGACGGAGATCAGGTCGTTTTTGGGGCTAGCCACTTATTGTCGTCGATTTGTGAAGGGATTCGGCGAGATTGCATGCCCCCTCACCCAACTCACTTCCACTAGGAACCCCTATCAGTGGACGGAGGACCACCTCGCCCATACCCCCCACCCTGGCTTTCCCTGACTTTTCCACCGATTTTATTTTGGACACTGACGCCTGCAGCAGTGGGCTGGGCGCGGTGTTGTCATAGGTGCAGGGTGGGACGGAGCGGGTCATCGCATACGCCAGCCGGACCCTGAGCGGTGCCAAGCTGAATTATTCCGTGACCCGTCAGGAACTGTATGCCGTGATTTTCACGTGTAAGCAGTTCCGGCCGTATTTGTACGGCAGGAAATGTCGCGTGCGAACTGACCATTATGCTCTGCAGTTTCTCCTCACATTCAAGGAACAGCGGGGGGCAGATGGCCCGGTGGCTGATGCAGCTGCAGGAGTATAACCTGCAGATCGAGTACAGGGCAGGGCGGATGCACGCAAATGCGGACGCCTTGTCAAGGCGACCCGCGGTGTGCGCCGTGACGAGGGCGGAGGAGGCCTGCCTGTGCTTCACGGGGGGACGCTGCCAACAGGCAACGGCCCCCCTAGAGCGCCCTGAGACTAACCCCCCTCCGCTGAGAGAAAGTGCCGTGTGTGCCACGGAGGTCCCTGCAGAAGGAGCCAGGGACCCAGTGGACCGCCCGGCGGGCACGGGGCCCACATCCCGGGGCCCGACGGGCCACTCAGCCTCACCCGGTCAGATCCAAGAGGACGTCGGCTGTGCGTTCCCGGGCCTGGATCACGAGCAGCTGAGACAGGCCCAGCGGCGGGACCCGGACCTGGCGGCGGTGGAGGCGGCCCTGCGGGAGGAAAAGGTCGCCCTGCAGGGACCCTGGAGTGGTTTGTATGCCCGGTTGCGTGTAGAGAACGGAGTGGTGCGGGAACTAACCGAAGCCGGGCAGCCAGGGTGCATCTCTGTTCCCGCCCAGGTGCGGCCCCAGCTGCTACGGTTGGTGCATGATCACCCGCTAGGGGGCCATGATGGGGAACGGCGCACTCGGGAGACCCTGCGTCGCCAGTATCTCTAGCCCAAACTGGCACAAGATGTGGCCACCTGGGTACAGGGCTGCCGTGCTTGTCAGCAGTGTGGGCAGAAACCGGTGCAGTATCAGGTGTCCCTGAGTCCGATCCGTGTCAGACGGGTGAACCAGCTAGTTGGGATCGACCTACAGGGGCCATTCCCACGATTACACCGAGGCAACCGGTATATCCTCGTGGCGGTGGAGTATTTCACGCGCTACCCAGTGGCGGTGGTCATCCCAGATAAAACGGCCCTTGTGGTCACCAGAGCATTTGTGGAACAATATGTACTTTAACATGGGATCCCTGAACGAGTCATTACTGACCAGGGTAGTGAGTTCGAGGCAGAGCTATTTCAGGCGCTGTGCCAGGAGTTCGGAATCCAGAAGGACCAAACTACGGCATACCACCCCCAGGCGAATGGGATGGTGGAGCGTACAAACCAGACCTTAGCCGGGAAGCTCAAATTTTCATAACCCACATATACAACAGGGGCCAGGGGTTTACTTTGGTCGACCCCTACGCACCTCGCTCTCTCTCTCGGATGCCTCCTGTTGACCCATAAACGTGGTGGCAGGTCAGCTCACACCGCCTTGTTGTGGCGCTTGCGCACAACTTCGTGACTAACGCTGCACGTTCTGTCGTTTTCATGCAGGGGGCACTGCAAACCTACGCGCCCCCTGCATGAACGATGGAGGCGCAGGAACAGACGTTCGATCGCGTTGTAATCGATCTGCGGACGGCGGTCTTCACGCACGGCCAGCTCTGTGTCGCCTCATCTCAATCCCGCGATCCCAACCAGGTGAAAGTCCCCATCGAACTGAACCTCTGGCAAGGCCATCTACTTAAAGACGAGAGAAAATTCACACAAAATATCGTTTTCAATGAATAAGCTTTTAATGAAGAAATACAATTATCTAATTCAAAACATAATACAATTCAAAGTTGTTTCATTTTCAAACTTCAAATCGGAGCATCAGGTGCTTGCGTGAATGCGTCGTTCGTGTGCAATTTTTTTCGTTAATTTCCTGGCCCAAGGCCGTAAATGGTTGTGAGGGGCGCCGCAGGCAGTCAGGCTTGCTTCAAGCATTGGTTGTGAACATCCAGACGTTAATCAGCAAGGACCATTTCTCGTCCTAATTCGACAAAATCTACGCCAACACGTAAAACTAAATTATAATTCGTGTTGTAGAGAATGTATCTCCTCTACGTGTAACTTTTGTGTGGTATGCCTTCTAACTTATGAATGATCCGAGTGTGCTCCCTACTTGAAAAGACAATGAGTTGCTCCAGAGGGAGATGCTTCCTGAAAATACAAAAATACCCTTTAACCTGTATCACAAGAACAATGAGTCTCACCTGAGTTATCTGTACAGGTTACTTCCAAAACACACTTTGTCCTAACATCACTTATTCAATGTTTGACCCTTATAGACAAAATGTTACATGTACGCACACAATCAGACAAGTATTCATTCTAAATTATTGACAGGAATATTCACAAAATTGAATTACTGCAGTGAAATATACTGCATCAGGTTCACATCGCATTAACAAGAAGCTATTTTAAAAAAATACGTTTAACAGTGTATGTACATCATACTATTGCGCCATTTAAAATGAGGCCATTGGATGCTGGCGTCTGGGTCAAAATGTATCAAATTCTAAACATTACCTACTAACTACACAACCAAGATGCCACATCAACCATCACCCCTTACTGACAGGCTCTTGTCCACATGCAGGCCGGAGCAGGGCCACCACCTTGTGCCACACAGGGGCAGCTGCTACTTGGGGATGCTCTTCGAGTGTTTGAGACGAGATACGATACAAAACTCTGAATTGCCAGAGGCGATTAAGCAAGCACCATATAAATGCAATTATTAGAACATAGTGAATGCTTGGGAGCTTATTGGCTGTCGCTCCTGGTTAGAGATCTACCCAACCCACAGATCCACAAAGACTGGCCGCTCTTCCCCTGCAATTTGCACCTAGGAATTTAGTGTTCAACTTCACATTCTTGTCATTAAAGGCCTGTGACAAAGGTGCATCTATTGGAGCGACATCGTCTCTGGCTTACACATTTACCGGGTCTCCATTTGACTTTGTATTGTCTCAGAGGAAGTCCACCCACACCTCCACTTCCACAAACTGCTGGGAGTTGCCTCGCTCTGCCTCACAGTCAGAATTCTCCTCCTGCTTCACGTTGCCTCCATCGATGTGAAGGTCCGATTTTGGAGTTGAATCGTCACATTTTACCTTCACTTCTTCGCTCTTCACCATCACTTCTTCACATTTCACCACTTCATATTTCACATCGATACCTTTAAAAGTGTCCAAGCTGGGATTTTCCTCCGGTTCTTGTTTCATGAGGGATGGGCTCATTGCGGCACTTTGACTTTCACAAGCTGATTTCCGACTCCACTCCTTGTGGATCTTCTGATGCTTGTGTGTTGTCTGGTGTACATGAAGATTTGATGAAAGTGCAAACACTATCCCGCACGGAGTGCACCTGAAGGGTTTCTCTACCGTGTGTGTTCTCTGGTGTCTTACAATCGAAGATGAATATGCAAACGCCTTCCCACACACACTGCACTTGAAGGGTTTCTCTCCCGTGTGTGTTCTCTGGTGTACATGAAGACTTTGTGAACGTGTAAATGCCTTCCCACACACACTGCACTTGAAGGGTTTCTCTCCCGTATGTGTTCTCTGGTGTGTTACAAGAGCAGATGAACGTGCAAACGCCTTCCCACACACACTGCACTTGAAGGGTTTATCTCCCGTGTGTGATCTCTGGTGTGTTACGAGAGCAGATGACTGTGCAAACGCCTTCCCACACACACTGCACTTGAAGGGTTTCTCTCCTGTGTGAGTTCTCTGGTGTCTTTGAAGATTTGCTGAAAGTGTAAACGTCTTCCCACACGCACTGCACTTGAAGGGTTTATATCCCGTGTGTGTTCTCTGGTGTACATGAAGATTTGGTGACTGTGAAAACGCCTTCTCACACACACTGCACTTGAAGGGTTTCTCTCCTGTGTGAGTTCTCTGGTGCCGTCTCAAACGGTCAGGACGATCCGTGCTGAATGCACACCGGTCGCATTGTCGCCTTGTTGCACTGAGCTGCGCCCAGTGCCTTTTCTCCATCAGACAAATTCTGTAGAGGAAGCGACAGAGGAAGCGTCAGCTGCAGACAGAAAAAAATTATATCCACACCATCTACACGTCAGTATCGATGTACAGAGGAATGCATACACACAGTCACACGTGACTTACATGTCTATACTTATTCATATGTTCATTTTATAGTGAAAAAGTGTCCCAAATTCATCAAACGGGCTGTTATGGCACACAATGAGAGGGCAAATGGTCATAAACGTGCCTGGAAGCCCTCGTATCTTCAAAATGAATGTTAACCCAAAACTCCGAGCACACAATTTCGGATGTCTGGCTTCAAAAGGAACATTTATGAAAGCTAAATTCAGCTGACATAGCAAAGTGTGTGGAAAATAATACTATTTGTGTTATGCAGAAATGCATAAATTAATGTTAAATCGCAACTTAGAGGTGTAAAGCCAGGCACAGATGTCCTTTAATGCTGGGATGAGCAGTTCCGACTTCAGCTGCACGTGTGCTGTGATAACTTCCCGACTCCATTCTTACAAACAGTCCCAGAGGAAAATAAAAATAAACTATTGTTTTGATATAACCTCCATGCTAAATAGAGTTAATAGACTTTACTGCAAATACAAACTTGACCCTGTCACACACTGGCATGGTAAACAGTTGGTGGTGTGTCCAGACGCATGCCTGGCCACCTTCATCCTCTCAGTATTAATGCTTCCTTACTCCACCAAGTAATTAATTGAAGATCAATCAACATTGCCGAGGCTGCATGTCTCTCTCTACATGTGGTGAGATGTTAACTACCTCTCCTGGCATACAGGAAGTCGTGGGTTGGATCCCGACCCTGGCGCCTGCTGTATATTTGGAGTTTACGTGTCTCTCTCTCCCTGTGGCTGCGTGGATTTCCCTCCAGATCCCCCGGTTGTCCCCACTCCACATGCAGAGAGTGAACACCGCCACACGTCTAGAGTGAACACCGCCATGCGTCTAGAGTGAACACCGCCATGCATCTAGAGTGAACACCGCCACACGTCTAGAGTGAACAGCGCCAAGCGTCTAGAGTGAACACCGCCACGCGTCTAGAGTGAACACCGCCACGCGCCCAGAGTGAACACCGCCACGCACCCAGAGTGAACACCGCCACGCGTCCAGAGTGAACACCGCCACGCTGTTGACGAGCCTCACCTTGTGTTGTGGGCAGGTCGCTTCCGAAAACAAAAGGGGTACAGCAGCTCAAGCGGGCTTGGCCTGGTAAAAAAGAACAAAATAAAAACTGCGTAAATATTTAAAAGTAAAACAAAGTGACAAAGTGGCGAACCGTGTGAAGACAAATTAAACTTAAGCGAGAGAATTGAAGAAAACACGATCAGGCGAGGGCAGGAGGCAAGGCCCCGCGTGGCTAGGCCCCGTGCTGTAAAGTTCCAACCTGGACATCGCTTCCATGCTCGCTGCTACTCAATTGACATCCCTACGAGAGAGAGCGAGGCTCTACCTCGGTAAACAACCACCACCACCACCACCAACACTACAACCACCACAACCACCACAACCAAAACAACCACCACAACAACCACCACCACAACAACCACCACCATAACAACCACCACAATAACCACCACAACAACTACCACCAAAATAATCACCACAACAAGTAAAACAAAGTGACAAAGTGGTGAGCCGTGTGAATACAAATTAAACTTAAGCTAGAGAATTGAAGAAAACACGATCAGGCGAGGGCAGGAGGCAAGGCCCCGCGTGGCTAGGCCCCGTGCTGTAAAGTTCCAACCTGGACATCGCTTCCATGCTCGCTGCTACTCAATTGACATCCCTACGAGAGAGAGCGAGGCTCTACCTCAGTAAACAACCACCACCACAACTACCACCACAACAACCACCACCAAAACAACCACCACAACAAACACCACCACAACAACCACAACCACAACAACCACCACCACTATTGCCAATAAACTGCAACTTGAATCACTACCTATGAGATCTTCACTTAAAACTGCTCTAGAGGAGTTGTACACCTCTAGCTGCCACTGCTACTCAGTGGCCTAAAATAAAATAAAATGTTTTGCTCCGGACGACCACTGCAAAGTATTATCTGTATTTGATTTAGTGTGCTGATCTTAAAGGTGCATTGAAAAATGTGATACTCCGACTGATGCTCCTGTTGTTTGTGGAGTGACTCATGCAGCCAGCTGTGGCTCTAGGGTTTGGCGTTACATGTTATTTATGTAGTTTATTGTTAAAAAATTGGTCACAGTTCCTATGATCACTGTTACATTGCATTTATGGCTTTATTTTGGTGATTACTAAAAGTTTTTTGGTTTGGCCTCGTTTTTGTTTATTGTAGTACGGAGTTAGACTGATGGCCTTAATCTAAGTTTTCTTGTGGTTGTTGTTGTTTGACTTGCATCCCACTGGGATTTTTGCACACAGCGTTGGTATACGGTGCTATTTCAGGAATATTTTGATATTTTTTCCTGGATTTTCAGTTTGCACATGCACAAAGTCACTTTAAGATGTTTCCTTGTTCATGTTTTTGCTTTTTTGTTTGTTGCAGTTGCACCCGATTCAAGAGCCGAAATGGCTCACAGGGCTATACCAAATAAATGAAAAATATGAAAACTAAACCACAACCACCACCACCACAACAACCACCACCACAACTACCACAACAACCACCACCACAACCACCACCACAACAACCACCACCACAACCGCCACCACAACCGCCACAACCACCGCCACAACCACCACCACAACAACCACCACAACAACCACCAACACAACAACCACCACAACCACAACAACCACCACCACAACAACAACCACCACCACAACAACCACCACAACAAGTAAAACAAAGTGACAAAGTGGCGAGCCGAGTGAAGACAAATTAAACTTAAGCGAGAGAATTAAAGCAAACGCGATCAGGCGAGGGCAGGAGGCAAGGCCCCGCGTGGCTAGGCCCCGTGCTGTAAAGTTCCAACCTGGACATCGCTTCCATGCTCGCTGCTACTCAATTGACATCCCTACGAGAGAGAGCGAGGCTCTACCTCAGTAAACAACCACCACCACAACTACCACCACAACAACCACCACCAAAACAACCACCACAACAAACACCACCACAACAATCACAACAACCACCACCACTATTGCCAATAAACTGCAACTTGAATCACTACCTATGAGATCTTCACTTAAAACTGCTCTAGAGGAGTTGTACACCTCTAGCTGCCACTGCTACTCAGTGGCCTAAAATAAAATAAAATGTTTTGCTCCGGACGACCACTGCAAAGTATTATCTGTATTTGATTTAGTGTGCTGATCTTAAAGGTGCATTGAAAAATGTGATACTCCGACTGATGCTCCTGTTGTTTGTGGAGTGACTCATGCAGCCAGCTGTGGCTCTAGGGTTTGGCGTTACATGTTATTTATGTAGTTTATTGTTAAAAAAATTGGTCACAGTTCCTATGATCACTGTTACATTGCATTTATGGCTTTATTTTGGTGATTACTAAAAGTTTTTTGGTTTGGCCTCGTTTTTGTTTATTGTAGTACGGAGTTAGACTGATGGCCTTAATCTAAGTTTTCTTGTGGTTGTTGTTGTTTGACTTGCATCCCACTGGGATTTTTGCACACAGCGTTGGTATACGGTGCTATTTCAGGAATATTTTGATATTTTTTCCTGGATTTTCAGTTTGCACATGCACAAAGTCACTTTAAGATGTTTCCTTGTTCATGTTTTTGCTTTTTTGTTTGTTGCAGTTGCACCCGATTCAAGAGCCGAAATGGCTCTCAGGGCTATACCAAATAAATGAAAAATATGAAAACTAAACCACCACCACAACCACCACCACCACAACAACCACCACCACAACTACCACAACAACCACCACCACAACCACCACCACAACAACCACCAACACAACAACCACCACAACCACAACAACCACCACCACAACAACAACCACCACCACAACAACCACCACAACAAGTAAAACAAAGTGACAAAGTGGCGAGCCGAGTGAAGACAAATTAAACTTAAGCGAGAGAATTAAAGCAAACGCGATCAGGCGAGGGCAGGAGGCAAGGCCCCGCGTGGCTAGGCCCCGTGCTGTAAATTTCCAACCTGGACATCGCTTCCATGCTCGCTGCTACTCAATTGACATCCCTACGAGAGAGAGCGAGGCTCTACCTCGGTAAACAACAACCACCACAACAACAACCACCACAACCACCACAACCACAACCGCGATGAGAATTTCTCACCTCGGATTTCAGTGCACGGCGGAGCAGAAGCTTCCTGTTACTTCGTGACGTCACGCAGCAGCAGGAGTTGACATGACGTCATTTGCGGGGTACAAAACACTCCCCTCCCACAATGAGCGGCTCTGTGGGCGTGGGTGCCGAACTCGTCGCAATAAACTCGCGACGGCTTTCATGAATATATTATGTTAATGAGCCGCCAGTCACCGGGAGTAGCTTTGCCCAAACAAGGATTCTAGTTGAATAGGTAAGGGCAGTGACCCAGGCGGAGGTGACGTCACGCTCAAGGGCGCAGTGGACCGGGTGGGATGAATACCTTCGTGACATGACGTCACTAGCGAGGTACACCTCCCCCTGGCGTTACACGCCGATGAGGTAATGCTGAGTGGTGACGTCACAGAGCGGGGTTGGAGTTTAAGTTGATTTAGATTCATTTTCCCTTGCTCCCTCCCTTGATCAGAGACCCCTTAGGTGTGTGAGCTCAGCCACAACTGTGTGTGTGTGTACACTGTGTGTACGTGTACACTGTGTGTGTGTACACTGTATGTGTGCACACTGTGTGTGTGTACACTCTGTGTGTACGTACACTGTGTGTGTGTACGTACACACACACAGTGTTTGCAGTGTTTGCACACAGAGTGTACACACACACTTTGTACACACACAGTGCAAACACACACAGTGTACACACACAGTGTGTGTGTACACACACACTGTGTGTGTACACACACACACACTGTGGGGGGCCCAGTCATCTAAGTCAGTCGACCAATGGCATTTATTCATCAATTTATTATTTTCCAAAAAAAATTGTTTTCAATTTACGTAACTTTACCGAAAGAACCAAGAATACGGTAGCACATTCTCTATTTATTGCAGAGATTCAAGGTTCAACACCGACAGACAGACCTGGCTACCCCAGTAACATTCACCAAAATATGCACAGTCTGCTTAACGGCAGCTATAAAACATAGCGTTGTGTCATTCACAACGCGCAGGTCATTGCATATTTGTGTCAGGGTCAAAATTGGGGTAATTCCAAACATTATCCAGAAACTACACAACGGAGATGGCGCTTCAATGATCGCCCCCTACCGACAGACTCATGTCCACGTGCAGGCCGGTGCAGGGCCACCTTGTGCCACACAGGGGCAGCTGCCACTTGGGGGGGGGGGGGGGGGGTCCTTCGCTTGTTTGAGATGAGATTCGATACGAAACATCGAGTTGCCGAGGCAATTAGGCAAGCGATTTATGAGTGCAAATATGATGTTGGTAACGTAGTGAATGCTTGGGAGCTTCATTGTCTTTCGCTCCTGCTGACAGATGTACCCAGCCCACAGCTCCACAGATACCAGCCGCTCCTCCTGTGCAGGTTCAGCTACGTACAGTGCAAAAGAAGTTCCAGAAACACACAGAGACTCACACAGAGACCCACAGATTAGCATGGTTGGCTATGTATGGTGCGAAATAAGTTCAACGTACACACAGAGACTCGGAGCAAGTTTGAGTCGCGTGCAGTCGTGGGACATGAAAGTTGAATTGGCGCATATTGCTACTGACAGTAGTTGAATACGGTTGGAAAGACGCTGATAGAGACACACACAGAGACTGACAAGAGAGAGGTGGACAGACAGACAAGAGGAAGACAGAAAGAAAGATACAGAGATGACAGAGACACAGACAGCGAGAGAGAGACACAGAAAAAAACAGAGACACAGATGGACAGAGAGATGTTGAATCGAACAAACTTAACTTGCTCCATTGAAAGAGATTCCTCAATCTTTGCCCATCCCCGGAAGTCGTACCTGTTTCTATTTATTTCATTGTATGTGGTGTCTACGTGTAAGCAATGTGGGATATCAATGTAGATAGATATGAACAAGATCAGCAGACAAGACGTCTTTCATACTCTTTGGTTCTTTGAGTGAAGTCACGCAGGTAGAAAAAGTACAATAAATCACGACGTTTCGATCGCAACACGAGCGGTCGTCCTCAGGCGAAAACATCCAGACATTGTCGCGGCAGAAGTCACGTGAGCTACGACACGTGGCAAAGATAAGGTGACCCCCCACCCCCGTGGCTCGCCCTGCTCAGCTGAGCATTGTTTTAATGTGGTGGGCTCACGCGAAATTTATTTCTGGAAGACGAAGGTACTTTCAAAACCCACTGGCTAAACTCTTTTATATAAGTGTTGTGTCCTTAACCACACGTAGACGTCTGGTTGAGGCAACGCGTTTATTAGAACTCTTTTGAACTCGGCTCTACACACTACTGTACCACGAAGGAGTACAGCCCCTTCCACTTGATAGCCTGCGGGAGTGACAGCCTCCCTTCTATCGCAGCCTGCACACTCCGGGCTCTGCTACCCACGGGTCCCTTAGCCCGGCGTTAAGGAAAGACTGGACGACCCGTCCCAGCCAGGGTACGGGAGCTCACCTCTGGTCCGCTACAACCCGGCTCTGGCTAGAGCTCGGGGAGGGTCCCAGGGTGTCCGAGCCACCTCGGTCCGCTACAACCCGGCTCTAACAAGAGCCTCGGTTGAGGGTCCCCGGGTGCTGATGCAGTCTTCAGGTCTTCAGGCTTGAGTTGGTGAACACTGCCCGGCCGGTCCAGAGGGCCGAGCTTTTAACCCCAGGTCGGGGTCACCCCTCCCCTCCTGACCCCCCCCCCTCCCAGAACCTTCTGGAAGGTCTTATCTTAATGGGCCTTAGGGACGGGTAAAAGGTCAGGGGTGTTAGTCTCCGGTCACGGGGGGGGGGGGGTGCAGGGGTTTACTTTGGTCGACCCCTATGCACCTCGCTCTCTCGGCTGCCCCCTGTTGACCCATGAACGTGGTGGCAGGTCAGCTTACAGCGCCTTGTTATGGCGCTTACGCACAACTTCGTGACTAACGCTGCACGTTCCGTCGTTTTCATGCAGGGGGCACTGCAAACCTACGCGTCCCCTGCATGAACGACGGAGGCGCAGGGACAGACGTTCGATCGCGTTGGAATCGATCTGCAGACGGTGGTCTTCTCGCACGGCCAGCTCTGTGTCGTCTCATCTCGATCCCGCGATCCCAACCAGGTGAAAGTCCGCATCGAACCGAACCCCTGGCAAGGCCATCTACTTAACGACGAGAGAAAATTCATACCAAATGTCGTTTTCAAATAAGTCTTCCAGATGTAAGATGAGATAAGCTTTTAATGAATAAATACAATGATCGAATTCAAAACATAATCAAATTAAAACTGTTTCATTTTAAAACTTCAAAACGGAGCATCGGGAGCTTTTTACCTACGTGACTTTACCCGCTTTCACACTCACTTCTGCTGCTGTATCTTCTCTGAATTCTAAACAGATTCTGCTTAAGGCCAGCCTATCTTTAATCTCAGAGAGGATAAGGCTACTCCGATTTGAACTCGATACTTTAGACAGGACTCTCCTACAAGCTCATTTAATGTTAACACAAAAAAATGTCACCGTCTGATTGGAATCACGTAGACAACATGACTGCTTCTTCTGCGGAGTCACTGTCAGTCAAATGTAAAGCTAACCTGATTTCTAAATTCAACCACCTATCAAAGAATAACCCATTCGTCATTAATCAGAGTAGCACCCCGATTTCAGACAATCTGAAAACAGTACTGGCTAGGGGACTAAATTTTGCTGTCACCCCAAAACACATACCAGTAGATGATATCATCTCTCAGGTCGATGTAGCCCTCAAAGGCGTAGGACACATCCAAGCAGACGTTGTGAGAGCTGAAATAGCCACTATTCTTAAGAATGCTAAGAAACCTATTAGTAACATCAGCTAAAATGAACGCTCTGAACTCGCGAATTTAAAAAACAGAAGTGATATAGTCATCCTCTCAGCCGATAAAGGCAACGCTACTGTTATTATGGATAAAGATTCATACAACAACAAAATCCAGAATCTGCTCAACGATGGAAGTTACTCAAAAATAAAAAAATGACCCTACCAATAGCCTAGCGATAAAAACCAACAAGATCATCACAAGTTCGACCTCCCTAATCGACCCAACTAAACGTCCCTCCCTAAAACCTTCTGCTGCAAGACCCCCTAGATTCTATGGTCTTCCCAAGATTCGTAAAAAAGGCACCCCACTACGACCCATCGTATCCACGATCAACTCCCCTACCTATAGACTAGCCCGTTTTCTGTCAGATACCTTGCTGCCTTTCACTGGCAAGACCACCTCAGCAGTACTTAACTCAGCCCAATTGGTCTCTATGGTCAAATACGTTGTACTGTCCCCTGACGATATCCTTGTCAGCTTCGATGTGGTCTCTTTGTTCACCAAGGTCCCAGTACCTGATACCATTGAAATAATTGAAAATTTGGTCCAACATGGACTAGATCCCGACACACCTGCACTGGTTAGGCACTGCCTCAACAATACCTACTTTACTTGGAATGGCTCCTTCTACAAACAAAATGAGGGTACCCCCATCGGATCCCCCTTGTCACCAGTGATAGCCAATATTTTCATGGAGAAATTTGAATCAGACGCCATCCAGACTTCCACCCTCAGACCTTCCCTGTGGAAGAGATCTGTGGATGACACTTTCGTCATTTGGCCACATGGCCTCCCAGCTCTGAACCTTTTCCTACACCACATCAATTCCAGACATCCCGCCATCAAAATCATCATGGAAGTTGAGAAAGATGGCAAGCTACCATTCTTAGATGTTCTATTTGAGAGGAGACCTGATAGCTCATTGGGGCATTCTGTCTACAGGAAACCCACCCACACAGATTCCTACTTGAAACCTGATTCCCACCACCACCCAGCCCAAAATAATTATCTTCAAAACTTTATACCATAGGGCTCATTTCATTTCGGACCAACACCACCTGACCAGTGAATTAAAACATGTACACCTGGCCCTGAAAAGGAATGGTTACTCTGACCGTACCATCCGCCAAGCTGTTTCTCCCTCCATACAAAAACAACCACTTGATACTCCGGTCAAAACCATCACACTACCATATATAGCAGGCGTTACTAAAAAGATTTCCAAAATTCTAAACAAACACAAGATCCAGGTCCGGTTCAATACAGTACACAAAATTCGTGATCTGATCCCATCCGTGAAGGATGTCATTCCTGACTTACAGTACCCCGGGGTTTATAAATTGAGTTGTACCTGCGGTGATTGCTATATCGGGGAGACAAAGCGACATGTCTCTGACCGAATTCGCGAGCACAAATCAGATTTGAAACACGGCAAAACGAATTCTTCTGCCGTGGCTGATCACTGTTACAACGTTGTGGGTGATCACGATATAATTTTCTCCAATACCAAGGTTCTTTGCAAACCCACGGGTTTTTTTTATCAGATTTGTTCACGAGGCAATTCAGATCTACAAACACAGACACAATTTCAATCGAGAAGATGGTTTCAAATTAAGCAACCATTGGAAAGATGTTCTAAATCGAACTAAACATTAAACTAATTTTAATGGTACAGTATATTTTTCAAGTAGTGGTACCCCAAACTTTCGCAGCTCTTATAAATTCCCTTTTCACCCCATCAATAGGTAAACTCCCCCCCCCCCCCCCGCGCCAAACGGCAAGTCCACCGGCACGTACACCACCTCTTTTCTAAAATCGGCCAATCAAATGCTAATTTTTATGCTAATTTATTTGTCAGGACACCTTGTTTGCTCGCACACAGCTTAAAGGTCCGCGGTCTGAGAGTGGTTGTGTTTCGCTCCAGCGCTGTCCTCGAGACAGCCTGGTCCCTTCGCCTGATGAAGGCCGCTTGTGTTGTGGCCGAAACGTCGTGATTTTTGTTATTTTATTTTTTACCTACGTGACTTTACCCAATAGAACCAAAGAGTATGGATCCTTGCAGTCACAAAAGCGTTCAATCTAGCATTGGGAGCTTGCGTGGAGGCCTCATTCGTGTGCAATTTTTTTCGTGACTTTCCTGGCCCCAGGCTGTAAATGGTTGAGGGGCACCGCAGGCGGTCAGGCTTGCTTCAACCCTTGGTTGTGAACATCCAGACGTTAATCAGCAAGGACCATTTCTTGTCCTAGTTCACCAACATATAAGACGTCATGCAAAATTCTCATGAGTGTTGTTGTGGAGAATGTATCTACTAGATGTGCTCTGCCTTGTAACCGAATACAAATCTGTACCAAAAATGAATTTCAAATGTGCACTTAAAATTACTTCCTTGCTATGAAGCAGATCAGCAGACACGACATCTTTCATTTATCGATCTCTCCATGAAACAAAGGAATGTTTTACACAAACTAAAACTAGCAAAGCCTTCTGGGAGTGCATCATTGATTCAGTGCAAGCCACCTGTGGACTCTTATTGGTGCACAACATCTCAAAAGCAGCCGGGCTGCTTCAACCGATAGTTTCGAACATCCAGACGTTAATCAGCAAGGAGCATTTCTAGACCTAGTTAGACAAAATCTACGTCAACACGTAATACAAAATTATAATTCGTGTTGAAGAGAATGTATCTCCTCTACGTGTAACTGATTAATGATCCGAGTGTGCTCCCTATTTCAAAGACAATGAGTTGCTCCAGAGGAAGATGCTTCCTGAAAACACAAAAATACCCTTTGACCTGTATCACAAGAACAATGAGCCTCACCTGAGTTATCTGTACAGGTTACTTCCAAAACACACACTTTGTCCTAACATCACTTAATCAATGTTTGACCCTTAGACAAAATGTTACATGTACGAACACAATCAGACAAGTATTAATTCTAAATTATTGAGTAATTTTAACACAATTTTATTACTGCACTGAAATATACTGTATCAGGTTACATCGTATTAACAAGAAGATATTAAAAAAAAAATACGCACCATCTGCTTAACAGTGTATGTACAACATACTATTGTGTCATTAAAAACGAGTAGGCCATTGCATGCTGGCGTCTGGGTCAAAATGTATCAAATTCTAAACATTACCTACAAACTCCACAACCAAGATGCCACGTCAATAATCGCCCCCTACTGACAGGCTCTTGTCCACATGCAGGCCGGTGCAGGGCCACCACCTTGTGCCACACAGGGGCAGCTGCTACTTGGGGGTGCTCTTCCAGTGTTTGAGACGAGATACGATACAAAACTCCAAATTGCCAGAGGCGATTAAGCAAGCACCATCTAAATGCAATTATGATAACATACTCAATGCTTGGGAGCTTGTTTCTCGCTCCTGGTTAGAGATCTACCCAACCCACAGGTCCACAAAGACTGGCTGCTCTTACCCTGCAGGTTGAACCTAGGAATTGAGTGTTCAACTTCACATTCTTGTCATTAAAGGCCTGTGACAAAGGTCCATTTATTGGAGCAACATCTTCTCAAGCTTACACATCTACCGGGTCTCCATTTGACTTTATATTGTCTCGGAGGAAGTCCACCCACACCTCCACTTCCACAAACTGCTGGGAGTTGCCTCGCTCTGCCTCAGTCAGAATTCTCCTCCTGCTTCACGTTGCCTCCATCGATGTGAAGGTCCGATTTTGGAGTTGAAACTTCATCTTCACATTTTACCCTGACTTATTCGCTCTTCACCATCACTTCTTCATATTTCACCTCGATACCTTTAAAAGTGTCCAAGCTGGGATTTTTTTCCGGTTGTTTCATGAGGGATGGACTCATTGCGGCACTTTGACTTTCACAAGCTGATTTCAGACTCCATCCCTTGTGGATCTTCTGATGCTTGTGCGTTCTCTGGTGTTTTTGAAGATTTGATGACTGTGCAAACGCCTTCCCACACACACTGCACTTGAAGGGTTTCTCTCCCGTGTGTGTTCTCTGGTGTGTTACAAGAGTAGATGACTGTGAAAATGCCTTCCCGCACACACTGCACTTGAAGGGTTTCTCTCCCGTGTGTGTTCTCTGGTGTTTTTGAAGAGTAGAGAACTGTGCAAACGACATCCCACACAAACTGCACTTGAAGGGTTTCTCTCCCGTGTGAGTTCTCTGGTGCAAGTTCAAATGTTCAGTACGATCCGTGCTGTATGCACACCGGTCGCATTGATGCCTTTTTGCACAGAGCTGCACCGAGTGCCTTTGCTCCATCAGACAAATTCTGCAAAGGAAGCGACAGCTGCAGAGAGAAAAAAAGAATATCCACACCATCTACACGTCAATATCGAGGCACAGAGGAATGCATATATACAGTCAAACATGACTTACATGTCTATACTTATTCATATCTTCATGTTATAGTGAAAAAGTGTCCCAAATTCATCACATGGGCTGTTATGGCACACAATTAGAAGGCAAATGTTCATAAACATGCCTGGAAGCCCTAATATCTTAAAAATGAATGTAAACCCAAAACTCCGAGCACACAATTTCGGCTGTCTGGCTTCAAAAGGAATATTTATGAAAGCTTAATTCAGCTGACATAGCAAAGGGTGTTGAAAATAATACTATTTGTGTTATGCAGAAATGCATAAATTAATGTTCAATCGCAACTTCGAGGTGTGAAGTCAGGCACAGATGTCCTTGAATGCTGTGATGAACAGTTCCGACTTCAGCTGCACGTGTGCTGTGATAACTTCCTGACTACATTCTTACAAAGATTGCAGAGGAAAACAAAAATAAACTGTTCCGTGCTCAATAGAGTTAATAGACTTTACTGCAAATACAAACTTGACCCTGAGCGGTGACAGAAGGGGAGCGGCAGTGACGTGGTGAGCGCTGCGCTCCTGACCAGCCGAGTTCCATTCCCGCTCGTGGCCAACACCGCCAGTGACGATTTTCTGAACCGGTCCTGAGCCGTCGACTCAGCCTCAAACGAGTACCCGGTGCGGTGTGTAGTAAACATCGCCACTAGGGAGACAAAGGCGGCCGGGTGTGGTGCTGGCCACCCACCCCCTCATGTGCCGTCCCACCCTTAATAGGTGCTCGCTAACAGCACTTGCCCCAACATTCTGTCCAGGCTATACGGGGGATCTTTGTCTTTGTGTGTTGGGAGCAAGTTTGAGTGGCGTGTAGCCGTTGGAGCTGAACGGGCGCCTGCTGCTACTGACAGTCGTTGACTACGGTTGGACAGACGCTGATAGACAGACACAGATAGACAAGACAGGCGGACAGACACAGACAAGAGGAACACAGAGACAGAGAAAGATAGACAGAGACAGAGAGACAAAGGCAGAGAGAGACACAGAGGCGCACAGAGACACAGACGGACAGAGATGTTAAACTGAACTCGCTCCATTGAAAGAGATTCCTCAATCTTTGCCCATCCCAGGAAGTCATTCTAGTTTCTATTTAGTTCATGGAGACACATAGACAGAGAGAGATAACACAAAGACACACAGAGAGAGATACACACATAGGCAACGCCTCTGTGTCGAGGCCTTAAATAGCGAGAGAGGGGTGGTAGAGAAATTAGCAAGTCATTGCAAGGCCGTAGCCATGGAGTCAACATTGGGGGGGGACCAAATTTTCCAGGGGGTCTGGGGTCCCCCCCCCCAGAAAAAAATGTAATTTGAAAACTAATTTCCTGCCATTTCCTGCATAAAATATTTAAAAAATTCACTAACACATGGGTTGGAATTTGTTTTATTTGATACAATAATGTCTAATATTGTATTGTATTACATTGCTCTGTTTTTTTCTTTTTTACCTTTTCTTGTTTCATAGTATGTAATGGCAGAGATTAGGGATTCATAAAGTACAACGCAATCATATAAACAGAAATCTATGCATTGTTATATGAAGACAAGTCCAGATTTTGTGGCCAAGGTTTAGCAAATCGTTTTTATTAACATAGCAATTATTATATTTAAAAAATATTTTTATAGCAATATATTGGGGGGGGAAATTTTGAGCATATTTGATTATTAGGAGGGGGGTGTGTGTCGCCCAATATATATTATAATTTTTATAATATATTATAATTACGGCCTTGTGTCAATGAGAGATTTAGAGCTTTGGTGACTGCAGTAAATAAAAACAGGACACACAGAGAGAGAGAGAAAGCACACTTAATCAAACAAACTGAGTAAAATTTGGAAATATAATGCAATGCAACACAGAGAGTCGGTCAACACACAATTAACGCATAGCCTGGTCGATTACATTCTGACAAAGATTGCTCAACTAAGCAAGAGAATTGAAGCAAACGTGATCAGGTGAGGACAGGAGGCAAGGCCCCGTGTGGTTAGGCCCCACGCTGCAAAGTTCCAACCTGGACATCGCTTCCATGCTCGCTGCTACTCAATTGACATCCCTACGAGAGATAGAGCGAGGCTCTACCTCGGTAAACAACAACCACCACCACCACCACAACCACCACCACAACCATCACTACAACAACCACCACAACAACCACCACAACAACCACCACAACAACCACAACAACAACCACCACAACAACCACAACAACCACCACAACCACCACAACAACCACAAACACCACAACAACCACCACAACAACCACCACAACAACCACAACAACAACCACAACAACCACAAACACCACAAACACCACAACAACCACCACAACAACAACAACCACCACAACAACCACCACAACCGCGATGAGAATTTCTCACCTCGGATTTCAGTTCACGCGTGAAGCGGCAGCTTCATGTTTCCTCGTGACGTCACGCGGCAGCAGGTGACGTGACGTCACTTCCGGGGTACAAAACACTCTCCTCCCACACTAATCGGACGGCTTTAACGGACACATTATGTTAATGAGCGTGCAGTCACCGGGCGTAGCTTTGCCCAAATAAGGATTGGCACCGGAACAGAAATCGGCAGCGGCCGAACGGAGGTGACGTAACGCTCAAGAGAGCGGTTGTCGGGTGTGGCTGACATGACGTCACTAGCGAGGCCAACCGCCCCCTCGCGTTTGACGCCGATGAGGTCATGCTGTGCGGTGACAGAAGGGGAGCGGCAGTGACGTGGTGAGCGCTGCGCTCCCGACCAGCCGAGTTCCATTCCCGCTCGTGGCCAACACCGCCAGTGACGATTTTCTGAACCGGTCCTGAGCCTCCTCTACGTCGACTCAGCCTCAAACGAGTACCCGGTGCGGTGTGTAGTAAACATCGCCACTAGGGAGACAAAGGCGGCCCGGCGTGGTACTGGTCACCCACCCCCTCGTGTGCCGTCTCACCCTTAATAGGTGCTCGCTAACAGCATTTGCCCCAACAGTCTGTGCAGGCTACACGGGGGATCTTTGTATTTATGTGTTGGGAGCAAGTTTGAGTGGCGTGTAGCCGTGGGAGCTGAACAGGCGCCTGCTGCTACTGACAGTCGTTGACTACGGTTGGACAGACGCTGATAGACAGACACAGACAAGACAGGTGGACAGACACAGACAAGAGGAACACAGAGACAGAGAAAGATAGACAGAGACAGAGAGACACAGGCAGAGAGAGACACAGGGGAACAGAGACACAGACGGACAGAGAGATGTGCCAGTTAAAAGGGTAAAACCTATTCCTATATCTTGTTACTGGCAAAGGAGGTCTCATAATGTAAATGCTCACCCCGAGCCCTCAATACTCTGATAGTGCGCTGTTTTTTTAGTTGTACGCCTTTTGGCGTCTTCTGGTCCAATATTAATGGAGACTAGGCTCTAAGAAAAGCTGTCTCGGGTGTGGACCAATCAAATTCAAGGACAGTGCATATTATTATCAGAGTTGTCTTTTTTGTTTGCATTTTGACTGCTTGTGTTGTGGTCATTGCAAACATAATGCCTTGAATAAAGGTGTCAGTTTTTGTGCCAGTTAAAAGGGTAAAACCTATTCCTATATGTTGAACAAACTTAACTCGCTCCATTGAAAGATTCCTCAATCTTTGCCCATCCCCAGAAGTCGTTCTAGTTTCTAATTATTTCATTGTGTGTGGTGTGTACGTGTAAGCAATGTACACAGCTATGAACAAGATCAGCAAACAAGACGTCTTTCATACTCTTTGGGTAAAGTCACGCAGGTAGAAAAAATAAAATAATAAAAAATAAATCGCGACGTTTCGATCGCAACACGAGCGGTCGTCCTCAAGTGAAAACATCCAGACATTGTCGCGGCAGAAGTCACGTGAGCTACGGCACGTGACAAAGATAAGGTGACCCCCCCCCCCCCCGCCGTGGCTCACCCCGCTCAGCTGAGCATCGTTTTACTGCGGTGGGCTCACGCGAAATTGATTTCTGTAAGACGAAGGTACTTTGAAAACCCACTGGCTAAACTCTTTTATATAAGCGCTCAAATGTATCTGTGATGAACGCTGAACTTTCCATCGTTTTCATGCAAGGGGCTCTGCATATCTACGCACCCCCTGCATGAACGACGGAGGCGCAGGGACAGACGTTCGATCGCGTTGGAATCGATCTGCAGACGGCGGTCTTCTCGCACGGCCAGCTCTGTGTCGCCTCATCTCGATCCCGCGATCCCAACCAGGTGAAAGTCCGCATCGAACCGAACCCCGGCAAGGCCATCTACTTAACGACGAGAGAAAATTCATACCAAATGTCGTTTTCAAATAAGTCTTCCAGAAGTAAAATGAGATAAGATTTTAATGAGGAAATACAATTATCGAATTCAAAACAATCAAATTAAAACTGTTTCATTTTAAAACTTCAAAACGGAGCATCGGGAGCTTGCGTGGAGGCGTCGTTCGTGTGCAATTTTTTTCGTGACTTTCCTGGCCCCAGGCCGTAAATGGTTGAGGGGCACCGCAGGCGGTCAGGCTTGCTTCAACCCTTGGTTGTGAACATCCAGACGTTAATCAGCAAGGAGCATTTCTTGTCCTAGTTCACCAACATATAAGACGTCATGCAAAATTCTCATGAGTGTTGTTGTGGAGAATGTATCTACTAGATGTGCTCTGCCTTGTAACCGAATACAAATCTGTACCAAAAATGAATTTCAAATGTGCACTTAAAATTACTTCCTTGCTATGAAGCAGATCAGCAGACACGACATCTTTCATTTATCGATCTCTCCATGAAACAAAGGAATGTTTTACACAAACTAAAACTAGCACAGCCTTCTGGGAGTGCATCATTGATTCAGTGCAAGCCACCTGTGGACTCTTATTGGTGCACAACATCTCAAAAGCAGCCGGGCTGCTTCAACCGATAGTTTCGAACATCCAGACGTTAATCAGCAAGGAGCATTTCTAGACCTAGTTAGACAAAATCTACGTCAACACGTAATACAAAATTATAATTCGTGTTGAAGAGAATGTATCTCCTCTACGTGTAACTGATTAATGATCCGAGTGTGCTCCCTATTTCAAAGACAATGAGTTGCTCCAGAGGAAGATGCTTCCTGAAAACACAAAAATACCCTTTGACCTGTATCACAAGAACAATGAGCCTCACCTGAGTTATCTGTACAGGTTACTTCCAAAACACACACTTTGTCCTAACATCACTTAATCAATGTTTGACCCTTAGACAAAATGTTACATGTACGAACACAATCAGACAAGTATTAATTCTAAATTATTGAGTAATTTTAACACAATTTTATTACTGCACTGAAATATACTGTATCAGGTTACATCGTATTAACAAGAAGATATTAAAAAAAAATACGCACCATCTGCTTAACAGTGTATGTACAACATACTATTGTGTCATTAAAAACGAGTAGGCCATTGCATGCTGGCGTCTGGGTCAAAATGTATCAAATTCTAAACATTACCTACAAACTCCACAACCAAGATGCCACGTCAATAATCGCCCCCTACTGACAGGCTCTTGTCCACATGCAGGCCGGTGCAGGGCCACCACCTTGTGCCACACAGGGGCAGCTGCTACTTGGGGGTGCTCTTCCAGTGTTTGAGACGAGATACGATACAAAACTCCAAATTGCCAGAGGCGATTAAGCAAGCACCATCTAAATGCAATTATGATAACATACTCAATGCTTGGGAGCTTGTTTCTCGCTCCTGGTTAGAGATCTACCCAACCCACAGGTCCACAAAGACTGGCTGCTCTTACCCTGCAGGTTGAACCTAGGAATTGAGTGTTCAACTTCACATTCTTGTCATTAAAGGCCTGTGACAAAGGTCCATTTATTGGAGCAACATCTTCTCAAGCTTACACATCTACCGGGTCTCCATTTGACTTTATATTGTCTCGGAGGAAGTCCACCCACACCTCCACTTCCACAAACTGCTGGGAGTTGCCTCGCTCTGCCTCAGTCAGAATTCTCCTCCTGCTTCACGTTGCCTCCATCGATGTGAAGGTCCGATTTTGGAGTTGAAACTTCATCTTCACATTTTACCCTGACTTATTCGCTCTTCACCATCACTTCTTCATATTTCACCTCGATACCTTTAAAAGTGTCCAAGCTGGGATTTTTTTCCGGTTGTTTCATGAGGGATGGACTCATTGCGGCACTTTGACTTTCACAAGCTGATTTCAGACTCCATCCCTTGTGGATCTTCTGATGCTTGTGCGTTCTCTGGTGTTTTTGAAGATTTGATGACTGTGCAAACGCCTTCCCACACACACTGCACTTGAAGGGTTTCTCTCCCGTGTGTGTTCTCTGGTGTGTTACAAGAGTAGATGACTGTGAAAATGCCTTCCCGCACACACTGCACTTGAAGGGTTTCTCTCCCGTGTGTGTTCTCTGGTGTTTTTGAAGAGTAGAGAACTGTGCAAACGACATCCCACACACACTGCACTTGAAGGGTTTCTCTCCCGTGTGAGTTCTCTGGTGCAAGTTCAAATGTTCAGTACGATCCGTGCTGTATGCACACCGGTCGCATTGATGCCTTTTTGCACAGAGCTGCACCGAGTGCCTTTGCTCCATCAGACAAATTCTGCAAAGGAAGCGACAGCTGCAGAGAGAAAAAAAGAATATCCACACCATCTACACGTCAATATCGAGGCACAGAGGAATGCATATATACAGTCAAACATGACTTACATGTCTATACTTATTCATATCTTCATGTTATAGTGAAAAAGTGTCCCAAATTCATCACATGGGCTGTTATGGCACACAATTAGAAGGCAAATGTTCATAAACATGCCTGGAAGCCCTAATATCTTAAAAATGAATGTAAACCCAAAACTCCGAGCACACAATTTCGGCTGTCTGGCTTCAAAAGGAATATTTATGAAAGCTTAATTCAGCTGACATAGCAAAGGGTGTTGAAAATAATACTATTTGTGTTATGCAGAAATGCATAAATTAATGTTCAATCGCAACTTCGAGGTGTGAAGTCAGGCACAGATGTCCTTGAATGCTGTGATGAACAGTTCCGACTTCAGCTGCACGTGTGCTGTGATAACTTCCTGACTACATTCTTACAAAGATTGCAGAGGAAAACAAAAATAAACTGTTCCGTGCTCAATAGAGTTAATAGACTTTACTGCAAATACAAACTTGACCCTGAGCGGTGACAGAAGGGGAGCGGCAGTGACGTGGTGAGCGCTGCGCTCCTGACCAGCCGAGTTCCATTCCCGCTCGTGGCCAACACCGCCAGTGACGATTTTCTGAACCGGTCCTGAGCCGTCGACTCAGCCTCAAACGAGTACCCGGTGCGGTGTGTAGTAAACATCGCCACTAGGGAGACAAAGGCGGCCGGGTGTGGTGCTGGCCACCCACCCCCTCATGTGCCGTCCCACCCTTAATAGGTGCTCGCTAACAGCACTTGCCCCAACATTCTGCCCAGGCTATACGGGGGATCTTTGTCTTTGTGTGTTGGGAGCAAGTTTGAGTGGCGTGTAGCCGTGGGAGCTGAACGGGCGCCTGCTGCTACTGACAGTCGTTGACTACGGTTGGACAGACGCTGATAGACAGACACAGATAGACAAGACAGGCGGACAGACACAGACAAGAGGAACACAGAGACAGAGAAAGATAGACAGAGACAGAGAGACAAAGGCAGAGAGAGACACAGAGGCGCACAGAGACACAGACGGACAGAGATGTTAAACTGAACTCGCTCCATTGAAAGAGATTCCTCAATCTTTGCCCATCCCAGGAAGTCATTCTAGTTTCTATTTAGTTCATGGAGACACATAGACAGAGAGAGATAACACAAAGACACACAGAGAGAGATACACACATAGGCAACGCCTCTGTGTCGAGGCCTTAAATAGCGAGAGAGGGGTGGTAGAGAAATTAGCAAGTCATTGCAAGGCCGTAGCCATGGAGTCAACATTGGGGGGGGACCAAATTTTCCAGGGGGTCTGGGGTCTCCCCCCCCAGAAAAAAATGTAATTTGAAAACTAATTTCCTGCCATTTCCTGCATAAAATATTAAAAAAATTAACTAACACATGGGTTGGAATTTGTTTTATTTGATACAATAATGTCTAATATTGTATTGTATTACATTGCTCTGTTTTTTTCTTTTTTACCTTTTCTTGTTTCATAGTATGTAATGGCAGAGATTAGGGATTCATAAAGTACAACGCAATCATATAAACAGAAATCTATGCATTGTTATATGAAGACAAGTCCAGATTTTGTGGCCAAGGTTTAGCAAATCGTTTTTATTAACATAGCAATTATTATATTTAAAAAATATTTTTATAGCAATATATTGGGGGGGGAAATTTTGAGCATATTTGATTATTAGGAGGGGGGTGTGTGTCGCCCAATATATATTATAATTTTTATAATATATTATAATTACGGCCTTGTGTCAATGAGAGATTTAGAGCTTTGGTGACTGCAGTAAATAAAAACAGGACACACAGAGAGAGAGAGAAAGCACACTTAATCAAACAAACTGAGTAAAATTTGGAAATATAATGCAATGCAACACAGAGAGTCGGTCAACACACAATTAACGCATAGCCTGGTCGATTACATTCTGACAAAGATTGCTCAACTAAGCAAGAGAATTGAAGCAAACGTGATCAGGTGAGGACAGGAGGCAAGGCCCCGTGTGGTTAGGCCCCACGCTGCAAAGTTCCAACCTGGACATCGCTTCCATGCTCGCTGCTACTCAATTGGCATCCCTACGAGAGATAGAGCGAGGCTCTACCTCGGTAAACAACAACCACCACCACCACCACAACCACCACCACAACCATCACTACAACAACCACCACAACAACCACCACAACAACCACCACAACAACCACAACAACAACCACCACAACAACCACAACAACCACCACAACCACCACAACAACCACAAACACCACAACAACCACCACAACAACCACCACAACAACCACAACAACCACAACAACAACCACAACAACCACAAACACCACAAACACCACAACAACCACCACAACAACAACAACCACCACAACAACCACCACAACCGCGATGAGAATTTCTCACCTCGGATTTCAGTTCACGCGTGAAGCGGCAGCTTCATGTTTCCTCGTGACGTCACGCGGCAGCAGGTGACGTGACGTCACTTCCGGGGTACAAAACACTCTCCTCCCACACTAATCGGACGGCTTTAACGGACACATTATGTTAATGAGCGTGCAGTCACCGGGCGTAGCTTTGCCCAAATAAGGATTGGCACCGGAACAGAAATCGGCAGCGGCCGAACGGAGGTGACGTAACGCTCAAGAGAGCGGTTGTCGGGTGTGGCTGACATGACGTCACTAGCGAGGCCAACCGCCCCCTCGCGTTTGACGCCGATGAGGTCATGCTGTGCGGTGACAGAAGGGGAGCGGCAGTGACGTGGTGAGCGCTGCGCTCCCGACCAGCCGAGTTCCATTCCCGCTCGTGGCCAACACCGCCAGTGACGATTTTCTGAACCGGTCCTGAGCCTCCTCTACGTCGACTCAGCCTCAAACGAGTACCCGGTGCGGTGTGTAGTAAACATCGCCACTAGGGAGACAAAGGCGGCCCGGCGTGGTACTGGTCACCCACCCCCTCGTGTGCCGTCTCACCCTTAATAGGTGCTCGCTAACAGCATTTGCCCCAACAGTCTGTGCAGGCTACACGGGGGATCTTTGTATTTATGTGTTGGGAGCAAGTTTGAGTGGCGTGTAGCCGTGGGAGCTGAACAGGCGCCTGCTGCTACTGACAGTCGTTGACTACGGTTGGACAGACGCTGATAGACAGACACAGACAAGACAGGTGGACAGACACAGACAAGAGGAACACAGAGACAGAGAAAGATAGACAGAGACAGAGAGACACAGGCAGAGAGAGACACAGAGGGGAACAGAGACACAGACGGACAGAGAGATGTGCCAGTTAAAAGGGTAAAACCTATTCCTATATCTTGTTACTGGCAAAGGAGGTCTCATAATGTAAATGCTCACCCCGAGCCCTCAATACTCTGATAGTGCGCTGTTTTTTGAGTTGTACGCCTTTTGGCGTCTTCTGGTCCAACACCAATGGAGACTAGGCTCTAAGAAAATCTGTCTCGGGTGTGGACCAATCAAATTCAAGGACAGTGCATATTATTATCAGAGTTGTCTTTTTTGTTTGCATTTTGACTGCTTGTGTTGTGGTCATTGCAAACATGATGCCTTGAATAAAGGTGTCAGTTTTTGTGCCAGTTAAAAGGGTAAAACCTATTCCTATATCTTGTTTCTGGCAAAGGAGGTCTCATAATGTAAATGCTCACCCCGAGCCCTCAATACTCTGATAGTGCGCTGTTTTTTTAGTTGTACGCCTTTTGGCGTCTTCTGGTCCAACACCAATGGAGACTAGGCTCCAAGAAAAGCTGTCTCGGGAGTGGACCAATCAAATTCAAGGACAGTGCATATTATTATCAGAGTTGTCTTTTTTGTTTGCATTTTGACTGCTTGTGTTGTGTTCATTGCAAACATGATGCCTTGAATAAATGTGTCAGTTTTTGTGCCAGTTATAAGGGTAAAACCTATTCCTATATCTTGTTTCTGGCAAAGGAGGTCTCATAATGTAAATGCTCACCCCGAGCCCTCAATACTCTGATAGTGCGCTGTTTTTTTAGTTGTACGCCTTTTGGCGTCTTCTGGTCCAACACCAATGGAGACTAGGCTCTAAGAAAAGCTGTCTCGGGTGTGGACCAATCAAATTCAAGGACAGTGCATATTATTATCAGAGTTGTCTTTTTTGTTTGCATTTTGACTGCTTGTGTTGTGGTCATTGCAAACATGATGCCTTGAATAAAGGTGTGAGTTTTTGTGCCAGTTAAAAGGGTAAAACCTATTCCTATATGTTGAACAAACTTAACTCGCTCCATTGAAAGAGATTCCTCAATCTTTGCCCATCCCCAGAAGTCGTTCTAGTTTCTAATTATTTCATTGTGTGTGGTGTGTACGTCTAAGCAATGTACACAGCTATGAACAAGATCAGCAAACAAGACGTCTTTCATACTCTTTGGTTCTTTCGGTAAAGTCACGCAGGTAGAAAAAATAAATAATAAAAAATAAATCGCGACGTTTCGATCGCAACACGAGCGGTCGTCCTCAGGTGAAAACATCCAGACATTGTCGCGGCAGAAGTCACGTGAGCTACGGCACGTGACAAAGATAAGGTGACCCCCCCCCCCCCCCCCCCGCCGTGGCTCACCCCGCTCAGCTGAGCATCGTTTTACTGCGGTGGGCTCACGCGAAATTGATTTCTGTAAGACGAAGGTACTTTGAAAACCCACTGGCTACTCTCTTTTATATAAGCGCACAACTTCATCTGTGACGAACGCTGTACTTTCCATCGTTTTCATGCAGGGGGCTCTGCAAACCTACACACCCCCTGCATGAACAGTGGAGGCGCAGGGACAGACGTTCGATCGCGTTGGAATCGATCTGCAGACGGCGGTCTTCTCGCACGGCCATCTCTGTGTCACCTCATCTCGATCCCACGATCCCAACCAGGTGAAAGTCCGCATCGAACCGAATCCCCGGCAAGACCATCTACTTAACGACGTGAGAAAATTCACACCAAATGTCGTTTTCAAATAAGTCTTCCACATGTAAAATGAGATAAGCTTTTAATGAAGAAATACAATTATCTAATTCAAAACAATACAATTCTAAGCTGTTTCATTTTAAAACTTCAAAACGGAGCATCGGGAGCTTGCATGGAGGTGTCGTTCGTGTGCAATTTTTTTCGTGACTTTCCTGGCCCAAGGCCGTAAATGGTTGTGAGGGGCGCCGCAGGCGGTCAGGCTTGCTTCAACCCTTGGTTGTGAACATCCAGACATTAATCAGCAAGGAGCATTTCTAGTCCTCGTTCACGAACATATAAGACGTCATGAAAAATTCTAATGAGTGTTGTTGTGGGGAATGTATCTACTAGATGTGCTCTGCCTTGTAACCGAATACAAATCTGTACCAAAAATGCATTTCAAATGTGCTCTTAAAATTACCTCTTTGCTATGAAGCAGATCAGCAGACACGACATCTTTCATTTATCGATCTCTCCACGAAACAAAGGAATGTTTACCACAAACTATATCTAGCACAGCCTTCTGAGAGGGCATCATTGATTCAGTGCAAGCCACCTGTGGACTCTTATTGTTGCACAGCGTCTCAAAAGCAGCCGGGCTGCTTCAACCGATAGTTTCGAACATTCAGACGTTAATCAGCAAGGAGCATTTCTAGACCTAGTAAGACAAAATCTACGTCAACACGTAATACAAAATTATAATTCGTGTTGTAGAGAATGCATCTCCCCTACGTGTAACTTTTGAGTGGTATGCCTTGTAACTGATTAATGATCCGAGTGTGCTCCCTATTTCAAAGACAAAGAGTTGCTCCAGAGAAAGATGCTTCCTGAAAACACAAAAATACCCTTTGACCTGTATCACAAGAACAATGAGTCTCACCTGAGTTATCTGTACAGGTTACTTCCAAAACACACACTTTGTCCTAACATCACTTATTCAATGTTTGACCCTTATAGACAAAATGATACATGTACGAACACAATCAGACAAGTATTAATTATAAATTATTGAGTCATTTTAACAAAATTTTATTACTGCACTGAAATATACTGTATCAGGTTACATCGTATTAACAAGAAGATATTTAAAAAAAAATACACCGTCTGCTTAACAGTGTATGTACAACATACTATTGTCATTAAAAACGAGTAGGCCATTGCATGCTGGCGTCTGGGTCAAAATTTACCAAATTCTAAACATGACCTACAAACTCCACAACTGAGATGCCACATTAACCATCGCCCCCTACTGACAGGCTCTTGTCCACATGCAGGCCGGTGCAGGGCCACCACCTTGTGCCACACAGGGGCAGCTGCTACTTGGGGATGCTCTTCGAGTGTTTGAGACGAGATACGATAAATAAACTCCGAATTGCCAGAGGCGATTAAGCAAGCACCATATAAATGCAATTATTAGAACAGTGAATGCTTGGGAGCTTATTGGCTCTCGCTACTGGTTTGAGATCTACGCAACCCACAGGTCCACAAAGACTGGCTGCTCTTACCCTGCAGGTTGAAACTCGCAATTGAGTGTTCAACTTTATTCTTGTCATTAAAGGTCTGTGCCAAAGGTGCATCTATTGGAGCGACATTGTCTCAAGCTTACACATCTACCGGGTCTCCATTTGACTTTGTATTGTCTAGGAAGTCCACCCACACCTCCACTTCCACAAACTGCTGGGAGTTGCCTCGCTCTGCCTCGCCGTCAGAATTCTCCTCCTGCTTCACGTTGCCTCCATCGATGTGAAGGTCCGATTTTGGAGTTGAATCTTCATCTTCACATTTTACACTCACTTCTTCGCTCTTCACCATCACTTCTTCACATTTCACCTTCACCTCTTCATATTTCACCTCGATACCTTTAAAAGTGTCCAAGCTGGGATTTTCTTCCGGTTCTTGTTTCATGAGGGATAGGCTCATTGCGGCACTTTGACTTTCACAAGCTGATTTCAGACTCCACTCCTTGTGGATCTTCAGATGCTTTTGAGTTCTCTGGTGTATTTGAAGATGTGTTGAACGTGCAAACGCTTTCCCACACACACTGCACTTGAAGGGTTTCTCTCCTGTGTGAGTTCTCTGGTGTGTTACAAGAGCAGATGACTGTGCACACGCCTTCCCACACACACTGCACTTGAAGGGTTTCTCTCCCGTGTGTGTTCTCTGGTGTTTTACAAGAGTAGATGAAAGTGCAAACGCCTTCCCACACACACTGCACTTGAAGGGTTTATCTCCCGTGTGTGTTCTCTGGTGTTTTTTAAGAGTAGATGAATCTGAAAATGCCATCCCACACACAATGCACTTGAAGGGTTTCTCTCCTGTGTGTGTTCTCTGGTGTGTTACAAGTGTAAATGAAAGTGCAAACGCCTTCCCACACACACTGCACTTGAAGGGTTTCTCTCCTGTGTGTGTTCTCTGGTGTGTTACAAGTGTAAATGAAAGTGCAAACGCCTTACCACACACACTGCACTTGAAGGGTTTCTCTCCTGTGTGTGTTCTCTGGTGTCTTTGAAGATGTGGTGACTGTGCAAACCCCTTCCCACACACACTGCATTTGAAGGGTTTCTCTCCCGTGTGTGTTCTCTGGTGTATTACAAGAGTAGATGAATGTATAAACACCATCCCACACACACTGCAGTTGAAGGGGTTCTCTCCTGTGTGAGTTCTCTGGTGCTGTGTCAAATGTGCAGAACGATCCGTGCTGTTCGCACGCCGGTCGCATTGTTGCCTTTTTGCACCGAGCCGCGCCGAGTGCCTTTGCTCCATCAGACAAATTCTGCAGAGGAAGTGACAGCTGCAGACAGAAAAAAATAATATCCACACCATCTACACGTCAGTATCGATGCACAGAGGAATGCATACACACAGTCACACGTGACTTACATGTCTATACTTATTCATATATTCATGATTTAGTGGAAACGTGTCCCAAATTCATCACACGGGCTATGGCACACAATGAGAGGGCAAATGTCATAAACGTGCCTGGAAGCCCTCGTATCTTCAAAATGAATGTTAATCCAAAACTCCGAGCACACAATTTCAGCTGTCTGGCTTCAAAAGGAATATTTATGAAAGCTAAATTCAGCTGACATAGCAAAGGGTGTGGAAAATAATACTATTTGTGATATGCAGAAATGCATAAATAAATGTTCAATCGCAACTTAGAGGTGTGAAGCCAGGCACAGATGTCCTTGAATGCTGGGATGAACAGTTCCAACTTCAGCTGCACGTGTGCTGTGATAACTTCCCGACTCCATTCTTACAATGAGTTCCAGAGGAAAATAAAAATAAACTACCGTTTTGATATAACCTTCGTGCACAATAGAGTTAATAGACTTTACTGCAAATACAAACTTGACACTGTCACACACTCAGAGGTGGAGCCAGGATTTTCAGGCAGGGAGGGGTAACCCCTCCAGCAATTAAAAATGATAGGAGTTGTTAGTAAGTAGGGAGTTGTTAGTAAGGAGTTGTTAGTAAGTAAGGAGTTGCTAGTAAGGAGTTGTTATTAAGTAAGGAGTTGTTAGTAAGGAGTTATTAGTAAGGAGTTGTTAGTAAGGAGTTGTTATTAAGGAGTTGTTGGTAAGGAGTTGTTGGTAAGGAGTTGTTACTAAGGACTTGTCCTATGCTTTTTATTGGACGCGGATGATTGGCATCGCGCTCGCTGAAGGTGTTTGCCATCAGGGAAGTCGTGTACTATATAGGCAAATGCGCACAATTCTGAGTCGCTTGTAACTGCTTTGCCGTTACTTATTGCCAATTATGGCCTCGGACTGTTGTCCTCTCATAGAGTCCCTGGCACGTAATAATATGCCACATGGTGGCAGTGGCGGTCGCAAAATTCTGATTTATCTATATTTATAAAATGGAAATTTGTGAATTTGTGTCTGTTTGAAATGTGCAGCATACTTCCCAACATGCTACACACTTGAAATTTGGCATGTCGGTAGCTTCCAGACAGGACACAATGCAAAAAGTATTAAAATATACTTTTGTATTTGGGGGGGGGGGGGGGGGGGGGGGGTGGGGGAAATGACCATGGAGTGTGTGGCATCAACCTGCAACAAAGATAAGGGAATATGAAATTTGAAATTTATCCAAGACAAGAATCCAAGTTCCGGGCGATGTCGGGTAGTGAAGCTAGTTATTAATAAACCCCAACGGTCCGATCGAAATTAGGGATTTCGATCGGACCGTTGGAGGGGCACGTGCCACCCCACCCCCACTGGCTCCACCACTGTCACACACTGGCATGGTTCACAGGTGGTGGTGTGTCCAGACCCACGCCTGGCCACCTTCACCTGCTCAGAATTCATGCTTCCTCACTCCACCAAGTAGAGTGAACACCGCCACGTGCCCAGAGTGAACACCGCCACGCGCCCGGAGTGAACACGGCTGCGCGCCCAGAGTGAACACCGCCGTGCGTCAAGAGGGAACACTGCCACTCGTCCAGAGTGAACACCGCCACGCGTCCAGAGTGAACACCGCCACGCGTCCAGAGTGAACACCGCCACGTGCCCAGAGTGAACACCGCCACGTGCCCAGAGTGAACACCGCCACGCGTCTAGAGTGAACACCGCCACGCGCCCAGAGTGAACACCGCCACGCACCCAGAGTGAACACCGCAAGGCACCCAGATTGAACACCACCACGCGTCTAGAGTGAACACCGCCACGCGTTTAGAGTGAACACCGCCACGCGCCCAGAGTGAACACCACCACGCGTCTAGAGTGAACACCGCCACGCGCCCAGAGTGAACACCGCCACGTGTCTAGAGTGAACACCGCCACATGCCCAGAGTGAACACCATCACGCGTCTAGAGTGAACACCACCACGCGTCTAGAGTGAACACCGCCACGCGCCCAGAGTGAACACCGCCGCTGGCCCAGAGTGAACACCGCCACGCTGTTGATGAGCCTCACCTTGTGTTGTGGGCAGGTCGCTTTTGAAAACAAAAGCGGTAAAGCAGCCAAGCGGGCTTGGCCTGGTAAAAAATAATGAAATTAAAACTGCGTGAATATTTAAAAATAAAACAAAGTGACAAAGTGGCGAGCCGAGTGAAGACAAATTAAACTTAAGTGAGAGAATTGAAGCAAACGCGTTCAGGCGAGGGCAGGAGGCAACGCCCCGCGTGGCTAGGCCCCGTGCTGTAAAGTTCCAACCTGGACATCGCTTCCATGCTCCCTGCTACTCAATTGACATCCATACGAGAGAGAGAGCGAGACTCTACCCCGGTAAACAACAACCACCACCACCACCACAACCACCACACCCACCACCACAAACACCACCACACCCATCACCACAACCACCACCACAACCACCACAACAACCACAACCACCACTACAACCACTACCACAACCACCACTACAACCACCCACCCACCACCACCACCACCACATCCACCACCACAACAACCATCACAACAACCAACAAACAACCAACACAACAACCACCACAACCACCACTACAACCACCACAACAACCACCACAACCACCACAACAACCACCACCACAACCACCACCATAACAACAACTACCACAACAACCACCACCACAACAACCACAACAACTACCACCACAACAACCACAAGCACCACCACAACCACCACACCCACCACCACAAACACCACCACACCCATCACCACAACCACCACCACAACCACCACAACAACCACTACCACAACCACCACTACAACCACTACCACAACCACCACTACAACCACCCACCCACCACCACCACCACCACATCCACCACCACAACAACCATCACAACAACCAACAAACAACCAACACAACAACCACCACAACCACCACTACAACCACCACAACAACCACCACAACCACCACAACAACCACCACCACAACCACCACCATAACAACAACCACCACAACAACCACCACCACAACAACCACAACAACTACCACCACAACAACCACAAGCACCACCACGACCACCACAACCACCACCACTACAACAACCACCACAAACACCACCACAACAACCACCCCCACAACAACCACCACCACCACAACAACCACCACAACAACTACCACAACAACAACCACCACCACAACCATCACAACCGCGATGAGAATTTCTCACCTCAGATTTCAGTGCACGGCGGAGCAGCAGCTTCCTGTTATCTCGTGACGTCATGCGGCAGCAGGAGGTGACATGACGTCACTTGAACAGAAAACAGCAGCGACCCAGGCAGAGATGACGTCACGCTCAAGGGAGCCTTGGACAGGGTGGGGTGAATACCTTAGTGACATGACGTCACTACCGAGGTACACCTCCCCCTGGCGTTTCACGCCGATGAGGTAATGCTGAGTGGTGACGTCACAGAGCGGGGTTGGAGTTTAAGTTTAGATTCATTTTCCATTGCTCCCTCACTTGATCAGAGGCCCCTTGGGTGTGTGAGCTCAGCAACAACGTGGACATTATTGTGTACACACTGTGTGTTTGTACACTGTGTGTGTGTACACTGTGTGTGTGTACACACTGTGTGTGTGTGTACACACTGTGTGTGTGTGTACACACTGTGTGTGTGTGTATACACTGTGTGTGTGTGTGCGCACACTGTGTGTGTGTGTGCGCACACTGTGTGTGTGTGTGTGCGCACACTGTGTGTGTGTATACGTGAACACTGTGTGTGTGTATACGTGAACACTGTGTGTACACTGTGTGTACACTGTGTGTGTGTACACTGTGTGTACACTGTGTGTGTACACTGTGTGTGTGTACACTGTGTGTACACTGTGTGTGTGTGTGTGTACACACACACACACAGTGTGTGTGTCTGTACACTGTGTGTACACATTGTGTATGTGTACACTGTGTGTGTACACTGTGTGTGTACACTGTGTGTGTACACTGTGTACACTGTGTGTGTACACTGTGTGTGTGTACACTATGTGTACACTGTATGTGTGTACACTGTATGTGTGTGTACACTGTGTGTGTACACACGGTGTGTGTGTACACTGTGTACACACTGTGTGTACACTGTGTGTGTACACACTGTGTGTACACTGTGTGTGTGTGTGTGTAGACAGTGTGTGTGTACACTGTGTGTGTACACTATGTGTACACTGTGTGTACACTGTGTGTGTGTACACTGTGTACACTGTGTGTGTGTACACTGTGTGTGCACACTGTGTGTTTGAAAACTGTGTGTACACTGTGTGTACACTGTGTGTGTGTGTACACTGTGTGTACACTGTGTGTGTGTACACTTTGTGTGTGTGAGGGGGGGCCAAGCCTCCACGCAGATTGAGGCGAGCCGAGTGGTGGCGCATTCTATTTTGACTTAAAACTTTCGTGACTGCAGGAATTAATATTCTTGCTTCTTTCGTTAAAGTCTGGTAAATTAAAAAAAACATGTTACTCAAAAGAAAATAATGAAATGAAATGGCAATTTAAATAATAAAATTAACCACATTTTTTCTTTATTTTTGGTTTCTATTTACATGACTTTAATCAGAAAGGGTTTTAATCAGAAAAGATTTCATTCGCCATGAAAGTTCGCACGAAGAATTTACATTCAACATATAGGAATCTTAAATCTTACATAAGTGGTATACAATTCTAACTATACTAAAAGTAAAAAGTCAAACCAACACTAATGGGCTAAAAGTATGTAAAATATTGAATAAATATTTAATATAAAGTAGCTGTAAGATACAATATAAA